CTTCCTCTCTTTTCTTTCTTGCCAACATTTATCTCAAACAAATTTCAGCTGCCAACAGGGTAAGGCTGCAACTAGCACCAAATTACGTAAGGCTTTTTCAGAACAGCAAATGAACAAAGTTAATTTAGAATACGTGTATTTGTCTATTTGGATATTTGTATCAATCTGCCAAATTCTCACTGAGAAACTATTCTGTTTTATTGAGACTCTGGTTTCTATAGTGAAAGTCAACATCTACAGGAAATGTCAATATCCATTCCAAAAGATAAAACCTTGCACCACATCCACTAGTTATTAGGTGATTCAATGATACAACCTATATTTTGAGATACAAAGGAGAATAATGAAACAACTGCTTATTTGCCTGACTGATTGAAATCGCAGTGTTATATGTGTGCATTAGATATTCACTTCAAGAGCTTTAACTCAGTGCATAACAGAAAAAAAATAACAGGCTAAATTAGGATCAGCTCAAGTCACCTTGATCATTTAAAGAAATATTAAAAAAATCTATCTCTAGGTCATTGAATACTGTCATATTCTGGATATCCTAGTATCTATAAACATGCTTTAAGGCTCTCAACAACTACTAAAACTATAACTATAAAGACTGTTTTGATAAAGCCCATATTAGGACATATGCCTTCATGATGAGGCTGCAATGGATGAAGAATGTAATTCATTAAATTTATACAAAAATAAATATATTTGGCTTTTAGGGATGAGAGATGCCTACAGTGAGCCAAGATTTTCTTACATGCTGAGCCCTTTGCGTATAACATCAGGAGGCGTGCGTAACAGTGGTGGAGTTAGCACTGAAATATACTTTATCATTAGCTCTCTCCTTGCTACCCTGAGGAGGCCCATGGTCACAAGACTTTTTTTTTTATTGCAATGGTTTAACTTGGCTAGACTACCAGAGATAATCTATGTGATATAATGCTTAAAGTTATTGGACTGGAACAAGGAAGATCTATCCTGAGCCACAGAAAATAAATGAGTGATTTGGGACTAGCTACTCTTTCAACCCATCCTAGCTCACAGGATCATTACTGTGGAGGAAAAGGAATACAAACAGTTCTATGCTCTGAGTTCCTGGAGGAAATGTGAGATATAAATCTAAATTTATTTTGTTCAAATGATGGAAAAAAATGCGATATAAATTAATATAGTAGAACGGCAAATAAATGGGCATATAGTATAAGCCAAGTCTCACACACACACACACACACACACACATCTTATAGTCAAGGAATTAAATATTTGACATATTTCTGTCATACATATGAACATAAGATAAAATAGCATAATTCAATCACCTTAATTCTTCAAATCTATTGGCAGAGTTTATCATAACCATTAGAAGCGCAGCACATCTTAGGCATGGCACAAGGGAAACATCAGAATGAAATAATGGTTTCTTACGATACAACAGTCATTCAAGACAGTGATGAGTCTGCATACAGATGGGAGGTTGAACAACTGGCCCTGTGGTACAGCCAGAACAATCTGGAGCTGAACACACTTAAAACTGTAGAAATGATAGTGGATTTTAGGTGGAGGTCTCCTATTCTACCACCTCTTACAATATTAGACAACACAGTATCAACAATAAAGACCTTCAAGTTTCTGGGTTCTATAATCTCTCAGGACTTGAAACGGGCACTGAATATCAAAAACGTCACCAAAAAAGCACAACAAAGAAAGTTCTTCCTGAGCCAACTAGAAAGCTCAGATTGCCCAAGGAGCTGCTGCTACAATTCTACGGAGGAATTACTGAGTCTGTCATTTGTACTACTATAATTGTCTGTTTTGGTACAACAACCAAACAGGACAGGTACAAGCTTCAACGGATAGTTAGGACTGCAGAAAAAACAACTGCAACCAGCCTGCCTTCCACTGAGGACCTATATTATGAGCTAGAAAGAGAACTGAGAAAATATCTATAGACTCTTCACATCTTAGAAATAAACTGTTTCAACCCCTCAAGACTCCGCTATAGGGCATTGCACGCTACAACAACTAGACACAAAGACAAGTTTTTCCCCTCATGACATTACTCTGCTAAATACCCAATTCCCACAGCACTGTTTTATGCCAAAGAATAAATTTACCCATGTAGTAGGACTCTATTGTTATTATCCTTCTCATCTTTCCTATTATCTTCTCCTATTGGTATATTATATCATTTTGTTTTTTGTATGTACGCTGAAAGCTTATGTACCAAACACAAATTCCTTGTGTGTCCAATCACACATGGCCAATAAAAGAACATTCTATTATTAGTACCACTACTGCTGCTGATTACTTAGTATTATTACTGTTATTGTTAGTGCTACTGTTACAAAAGAACTCAGACCTATAACTACCATTAAAGTATTTAGACTAAAGAGGGAGTGTCAGTCATATATGTAGAAGATTATATAGGCATTAGTATCTGAATACTCCAGCAAATCATTAGGTGTTCAATTTTCTTTTTTCTATGCCCAAGTGTGCATCTCAATGGCACACTTCAGGGAAAAATTAGATGGAGCAAGTTCAAATAGCCTGTCTACTCTTAAGTCTATAATCCATATTCATTTTAATTTGTAAAGGTGAGGGTGCCTTGGAAAATCGCTATTTCACAATCGGCAGTGTCTGCAAAGGTACATATGTGTCAAATGAAGACGCCAGTGTTGTGTCGATATAGTGCAAAATCTGTCCCTTTTGTATATGTGCCATGATGTCACATACAAAGGGGTGAAGCTTATCATGTGATTTGTGTGATCTGCATTAGATTATGCAGATGTGTTTATAGTCAAATCTGTTTTCCCATCATTGTACTGGGGGGAAAAAAACAGCTGCTTCCCTGAACAACTTGGAGACTGGTCAAGGTTAGAAACCTAATACATATATCACAATGAATACAAGGTACTATAATAGTCATAAATGGAAATAAAATGCCACTAATGGCATTTTGTTGAACTTCTTCGTATAAATATCCCAAGCAATTTTTTTTTTTTTTTGCTGTCACTGGTAGCAGAAAATATTTTGGAGTAATGTGTGTAAATTCACTTTTGGAAAGTGCTAGTAGGCTTGGATAAAAGGCAAAATGTTTAGTTTAATACAGATTATGTTTGCTGAATAATATAAACAGAGAGAGATTCAGATTTAAAAACAGTCATTTATTTTTAGTCCAAACTAATCTATTACTGAAGTATAGTCAAACTAACTAGCACTATGATTAAATTATCCAACTCTTGTCCAGTCTCCGACAGGCCCTTTCTGGGGAAGAAGATGCCTTGGGCCTCAGCTTCAGGGGGCCCTGGATGAAGTGGATTATTTGAACCCTTTTCAATCTGGGTTCAGGTTGGAATGGTACTCAGATGGCCATGGTTGTGCTTGTAAATGATCTTTGGAGGGCTTGGAACAGGTGCAATCATCCTGGGTCTCCTAAATCTCAGTGGCTTTCAATATTATCAGCCACAATATCCTTTTAGACTGTTTTCGGGTGGGAAGAGGGAGGCACTGTTTGGGGTAGTTCTCCACTTTTCTCCTTGACCCCCAGTTCCAGTCAGTATTAGTGAGGGTGGAGGTCAAATCCTAGGCCAGTGATGGTAAACCTTTTAGAGACTGAGTGCCCAAACTGCAACCCAAAACCCACTTATGCATCGTCGGGTGCCGGGTGGGTGTGGCCCATTGGCTGGGCGTGACCCATTGGCTGGGCATGGCTGTGGTGGTAATGGCAGACTGGGTGGGACTAAAAAGTTCAATCAATCAATTCCAACTTTGCAAGATTTTTTTTCCTGCGAGAAGTTGAAATTGACTGATTGATTGAACCTTTTTTTTTTTTTTTTTGCACACAGCGCGGAGGCCTAAAGTGAAAAGATTTTATAAAACCCAGCTGAAGGCCAAGGACTGGGGCGACAGCACGCGTGCCCACAGAGAGGGCTCTGAGTGCCGCCTCTGGCACCCGTGCCATAGGTTTGCCACCACTGTCCTAGGCCTCTGCAATGTGTTTTCTCATCCACTGGGTGAAATCAACCACTGGATGAAAGCATTCAGTGACAGAGAGTGTGGGATCATCATCTGCCCATCCCACCAGATTGGATAGGATAAGCATATTCCATGTCCCTTCGCTTAAATATTGCCTTATCCTATCCAATCTGGTGGGATGGGTAGATGATGATCCCACATCCTCTGTCTTCCCTGAGACTCTGGAATATCACAGTTAGGATAACTGTCTAATCTGACCTGTTTCCAAGTACTATCCCGTGTTTCTTTTGAAAGAAGCCATTGAAGTTATAGAATATACAATCATTTTCATCTGGGGTAAAGTATTTCATATTTTTCCAAAGATCTACAATACTAAGCAGAAATCTTAGTAAGACCGGGAAGAAAACAACAAAATGGGGACTGTTATGATGATTAAAATGAAATTAAGTATATCTACAACCACTTTCAGCTATAACCATCTTGGCTAAAGACAATCAGAAATGTGTGTATGGTTCATTTCAAAAGATATTTGGACAGAATTTTGATAAAGTTAAACACAGGACAGGGGTTATATAAACAGAAAAATTACACTGACTAAAGTTGCATAGCACACTAATTAATAAGGAACTTAAATTTTTGTTAAGATGTCATCTCTTTTCTCTCACATGTTTAAACATACAGAAATAATAATAATAATAATAATAATAATAATAATAATAATAATAATAATAATAATAATAATAATAATAATAATACTGTTGGAAGGGACCTTGGAGTCATTTAGTCCAACCTGCTGCTCAGGCAGGAAACCCTATACCATTTCAGACAAATGGATGTCCAGTCTCTATCCAGATTATATCAGAACATTGTAAAAAAAAATTGGAACATATATAACAAGTTACACACTATTGCCAGCTTTCTCTAACTGGATGTTTTCTGCAAGTTAGATTTACTACAACAATTTGCAGCCTGGCTTTGTGCCAACAGGCCACTCTGTAGCAACTGGACACACAGAGAAAACCTACCAAAAGTGGGGACCAACAAGCAAGGAGGACACACATGATTCCCAGCAACTGGATAAAGGTTTCCATGGTAATCCTGCCCCACTGCTTCCTTGATCGGGATGTTGAGCTCTTGGACCAGCAGCGACACACCAGTGCAGTTATGGTTGTCATGTTGCATGCCACAGTGACAGCGAGGGAAAAGAGACCCAAGAGAGCAAATGTAGAAGCAAAAACAGCATTGCCCACCGAGGGATTTTCGTGCTCCTTCATACTGATGAAGCACCAGGTGCCAGGCCACTGAAGTGTATACTTCCCAATGCCCATGATGGGCAAGAGAGCAAAGGCAAAGCTAGTCAGCCACACACAAAGTAGAACAGTCCTGGTCAACCTGGTCTTCATGTGGCCAGTGTACCAATGGGGGGCCTGGATGGCCAGAGCCCTTTCCACAGCCATGGCACTTGCAATGAAGAGAGGGCAAAGACCAAAAACGGTCATGGCCAAGCCAAAAAAGGCACACAGGCCCTGGGAAGGGTCCACCTCTCGCCATTTCCGATTGGCCAAGTATACTGTGATGACCACGGGGCTGGTCAGCAGCTGCCCGGTGAGGTCCGTCAAGGCCAGGGAACCAATGCACAGCAAGAACGGCCTCTTCCGCTGGTTTTCCTTCTTTTGGTAAGCTCGGTAGGCTAGCAGCATGGCCAGTCCGTTGCCCACCATGCCCGTGATCATCATGGTCAAGGGGAAAGCCACCGACACGGAGGCGCATTGCTCCGCGAACGTCCCGCTGCCGTTGCCTTTCTCCCGGCTCCAGCCGGCGGCATTGAGGGGGGCCATGCCGAACTGAGTGGAGTTGAGCCGGCCCCCATAAAGCCCGCGGAAAGTCATGTTGCGCACGCGAAGGGCGAACGGAGCAGCCCCGGCGGCGAATGGGAGCGGAGCCCGAGACGGTCCCCTTCCATCGCGGCGCTCCAGGCGTTGGCGAGCCGCTTTCGGGGCTTCAAGTGGTCGAGGAGGATAACCCGCCGCTCTCTTAAAGGCGCGGAGGCGGAGCTTTCATTCATCAGGTGCCTCTCTCCTCCTTTCGCTCTCTCGCTCGCTCAGACGGAGAGAGAGAAAGGGAAAACTAAGCGCTCTCGCTTTGGCGCCTGTTTTCTGCCCGCAGCTCAGGGCTCCACGCCCCTCCTGCTCTCCAGATGGAAAAAGGCAACCGGCAACACAAGCACAAGTGCTCAGAAAGTGCCCAGGACTCTCCCGGGGCGTGGGGTTTCTCTATAGTTCAGGCGTGCTGCCTTTTCCCGTCTTCGCTTTTCCCTCCTATCTCCTGGTTGTGTTTGAATTGAGCGCGGTTAGCGGGGTTTCCCTCCCGGGTCGCGCACCGGCTCGCGTAACTGGCTGGCAAGAGGCTTGGATCCTAGTTTTCTCTTCTTCCTCAATGGCGAATAATTCCATGGAATCAATAGAGGTGCGGATGGCTCAGGATTAAGGGATTAAGTATAAAAACTGACGCATACGGGTCGCTTAAAGTGCCCGAAATCTTGGGCTGGCGATACATGGTATCAAATTTAACAATCTTTAAATATTATGTAGCAATTATTAGTATTATATATTAGGTAGGAATAATAATTTGGAAGGGACCTTGAAGGTCATCTAGTCTAACCCCCTGCTGAGGCAGGAAACTTAATGGTGGGATTCAGCCAGTTCGCACCACTTTGGCAGAACCGGTAGCTAATTTTTTGTTGCCCGCTCAGAATGGACTTCCGGAAGCAGCATCTACACACAACGGATTGTTCACCTATTTGAATCCCACCACCGAGGAAACCCTAGTAGTCTACTATTCTTTAGCTTTAGGTAATGGAATATGGCGTGAAGGGGTGAATATCTGTGAGGGGATTATGAAAGATGGTTTCTGGGGTGAGGGAATGTTATGAAGTATCGTACAGGCTTTTGTACACTTACTGTAGTTTCCATGGAATCCTGTTAAGTCCTTTTAGGCCAGCGTGGTTGGTGAATTGAGATGGTTGGCTTTCCAATGAGCAAGCTGGGCCCCTTTGCAAAGCACAGGCTTCTGAGACCAGATAACAACAGTTCTTTTCACTTTTCCTCTAGGGCTTTTTGGCTGTTTGTAGCTGGTAACTGGAGGCAGCGATTACCAGGAAATGTGTATTTTGCAGTGCTCAAACTTGATGCTGTCACTTTGAGTTGCAAGTTTTAAATATTGCCCTTATGTACTTCTTACATATCTATTTCTGGCTGCAATTTTGTTTTTAAAGGGCATTTTTAATAAACATAGCAGCAATGCCACCTAGTGAGAAAAGTTATTATGTAACTTGACACATTTTCCTCAGTGCTTTAAAACAGCATTTCATGAGTAATGATTTAAGTCAATGATTGAGAAACCATTATCTGCTATATAAGGCTGACTAGTTAAACAACTGGCCTTGTGTGCAGCCGGAATAATCTAGAACTGAACACACTTAAATCCGTAGAGATGATAGATTTTAGGAGGAGCACTCCTATTCTACCAACAATACAGTATCAGAAGTAGAGACCTTCAAATTTCTTGGTTCTATAATCTCCCAGGACTTGAAATGGATACCTGACATTAGAACAACAAAGAATGTTTTTCCTGGGGCAACTCAGAAAGCTCAGACTGCCCAAGGAGCTGCTAATACAGCAGCCAAAAAGGTACAGACTTTAATGGATAGTTAGGATTGCAGAAAAAAGTTGAAATCAGCCTGCCTTCCATTGAGGACCTATATACTGCACAAGCCAGAAAGAGGGCTGAGAAAATGTCTTCAGACCTCACATACTGGACATAAACGGTTTTAATTCCTCCCCTCAGGATGCCGCTAGAGCAGACATGTCAAACTCGCGACGTCGTACGTTATCAGGACGGTTTTGCCATTGCCGGCAATGGGGTGGGTACGGCTTCTGGATGATGCCTCCAGCCCGTGGGCCTGCAGTTTGACACCCCTGCACTAGAGCATTGTATGCCAAAATTAGTTTCTCCTCATGCCATCACTCTGCTAAACACCTAATTCCCACAACAGTCTTATGCCTAAGAATATCCAACCATGTAGTAGGATTGTATAACTATTATCTTCTCATCTTTCCTATTACCTACTCCTTGTGACTATCATTTTGTTATATTTTATGATTATTGTATCTTATAATTTATGATTTCTCATTTTGTTGCTTGCATGTATACAGAGAGCTTAAGCACAAGGAGAAAAAATCCTTGTGTGCCCAATCACACTTGCCCAATAAATAATATTCTAATTCTAAAACATTCCTCTGTGTCTGTTTCATTTTGAATTATATAGCAGAAACAGCCAGTGCTTTAATAATAATGAAAAAAAAAATTCTATAATTTGCTCCAAAGATCTAGCAATTTTGGAAAACACAATCTTTGTGCAAAATCAATTTGTGTATCAATGGCATACGTTCCTTGGGAAAGCATCTGAACCACAGTATGTTCAAACAGAAAAGTAGGTGAGAAAGAATAAGACCCCAATAACAAGTGGATGTTATATCAGAAGCAAATGGAGGATTGATGGAAGCCTTTTTGGTGAAGATTTGAATATAACGTATTATGGTACTTTCCTGTAAATACAATTCAGTGATCATCTGTACATTTACAAAGATTCTGCATTAACACTGAAACCTTCTTCTATAGGCTTTAGAGTTTTCTTTTCAAGAGCTTTTAAAAATAAAGTTATGATGTACTTTTTTCTTATAAAGCAAGGAAACCCCACAATTCCTTGTAGAGCAGTGCTTCTCAACGTTTGTGTGACGGCGATCCCCGTCACACAAACGTGACGCGCATGCGCGGCCCCCATGCGCGGCGCCGCCACCCCCATGCGTGGCGCGCATGTGCGCCGCTGCCCCCGAGGGGGGAAAATGGCGGATCGCCTTGTTTGGCGACCCCCGAGAAATGGTCGATCGACCCCAAATGGGGTCGCGACCCATAGGTTGAGAACCGCTGTTGTAGAGCAATTGTTCATTACTTACTCGGCCTTGTCTTACAATGGTTTAATCAGAGACTTTCTCAAATGAAGCTATAGACCAGATCATATCATATATTGTCTAGCTTATTTGTTGTTTTGCAGCTAATTTAGCTACTAAAAGTAAATGCTGAATATGTTTACTTTGCTAATTCTTTTTCATTCTCACTTTCTAGACTTTGAAGAACGTGTTTTATTTTGCTAAAAAAATGTTCTGATGTAGTTTATATCTGCTTTTCCCTAAGAGAAGCTTGTGTTTGTTTAAATCTATTCCTAGTATCAAATTCTTAATCTCATTTTTTTCTAATTTTGTTAATTCTTTTCTAAGAAATTGTACCAGATCCTGATTTGGAGAGCAGGTTGAAACAATATTGAACTTAGTAATTTATCTAATTCTCTCTTAATAAATACTGACCTTTCATTGCTGTCCTTCATTAATCTGTGAGTTTAAAATTTAAACTAGTTTTAAACAAACTTGCAACTCCTTTTGACTTACTGGGGTCTGTAACAAAATATGCTTATTGACATATTAAGCTTTGATATTACGTGTTCTAAAAGTTTCTTCCGACATAACTAAGGGGGAAAGGATCTTATACAGGTAGTCCTCAACTTACATTTCGAAGTTACAATGGCATTGAAAAAAATAACTTATGACCATTTTTCACATTTATGACCGCTATAGTATCCCCATGATCACATGATTTCCATTTGGATGCTTGACAAGTGACACACATTTGATGTTGCAATATCCAGAGTCATGTGATCCCCTTTTGAGACTTTCTGACAAGCAAAGTCAATGAGGAAACCATATTCACTTAACAACCATATTAGTAATTTAAAAACTGCAGTGATTCGCTCAATAAATGTGGCAAGAAAAGTCATAAAACGGGGCAAAACTCACTTAACAAATTTCTCACTTAACATCATCATTTTTGGGGTCAATTGTGGTCGTAAATTGAGGATTACCTGTACAAGGTATCAAAATAATAATCTTTTTAACTGTAGTCCCAAATTTCTAAAGTTCAATAAAGTTCTACTACCGGTACTTTATATACTTTGCATCCTATGAAAGAAACCAAATTCATTTGGGTTTATAAAGAATACATTTTTGAAGCTTTGTTTTCTTCTTGATTCCCAACCCTTGTTATACCCTTCCCTGATTGGACTTGGCAAAGGAGATATTTAGCAGGCCCACTTTTATCTCCCATGCTACAGATACCATTATTAGCCTATCTCCAGGTTTACTTGGGATCAAAACTTCCAATAAATTTAAATTGTTTCAAGTCACACTATTGAGGGTAAATGAAATGAACTGCAATATATGCAACATCTGGCATTGTTTAAACCGAAAGAATATAAACTACAAATAAATGACATATTTAACTGACATGCTTTATTTACACATCCACAGAATTGGATCTTCATATAACCAATACAATTTGAATCCAAGCCAAAATGAAACCCATAATTTTCCTTTAATTATTCTAGCCTATCATATACCGAGATTAAAACTTGTTAGGTACAATACTGTGAATAAAAGCACAAGAATAGCAAACTGTTAACATGTAGCACTTAGCAAATCTGGTTTTCACATTTTTTAGACTTTCAAAAAGTCAGAAAGGCACAGTTACAAGACTATTTGTACTTGTGCAATCTATGCTACAATTTAGCAGAAGAAAGAGGATACTCAAGAGGAAGCAATATAGGAGTACAGGCATTTTTTTTTTTTTTTGCAAAATTTATCCAAAATATTCACACAGCAAAGCCATTTTGCTATATCTTTGATCAGCCCCACCCCCATCAAATTTAAGATGTTCATGAAAAGAAAAAAGGTGATGGCAGTTCTGCTCCACTTCCATTGTGCAGTTTGATTTATCAAGCAGATCTTCCAAAATGCAAGATATTGAAGGCATAGCCTATTCCCTAGATTTATTAATTTCCCTTAACATACTTACCTTGGACGTGACTGAAGATGACAAATACATTTTCCCAATCAGTTTAAGAATGGTCAGTACTTAACAAATACATTTGATAGTAAAACAAAAGTGAAAATGAAACATGTTAAGCCATGAATTAGTTGAAATAGATTTGAGGTTTTAGGATTTCTACTCTTATGTATAAAAAATTTCAAGAACAATACCTGTCCAGATAGTATCATACTAGTTTGTACATGTTAATTCACCAAGTTGTTCTTTGTAGTTTTCCAGAGATGGTATTCTGGCCAAAACAAGTCTGCATTGGACTGGACTACTGCCAGAGCATAAATTACTTCTGGTTCTGAGTTATCTTCTGGAAAATCACTGAAATGGCAACAAGCATTTTTCTTAATTATTGTTGCAGTTTCACCAAGTGACGCTAGTTTAATGTGTTCCAGTGGGAGGAGCACCATAAAGGAGACATAGATGCTTTGCCTGAAAGAAATATATTTCTTTCCATATTTTATCTGCAGCATAACACACTTATTAATTTGCTGAGTCAATAAAGAATAAAGGACTATGGAATCAAACACATTACATTTCTTACATAATACATTATAAAATTCTGCAGAAAACAGAAAGAATTGGTTATTTTGCAAAATATCCAGGAAATAATTTATACTAGGTTTCTTCTCAGTTAGAAATCACAAATATATTTCAAAGGAGTTGTTCCTCAGAGTAGAATTATTCTACTCTGAAACTGAGATACATTCCTGCCTACTAATATTGCAAGGATGACAAAGAAAAATTAAACTAAACTTTTTCAGAAACCAGACTTTGAAATTTACATGATGACATAGCAATAGATCAAGGATAGTACTTGGTTGATACTCTCAAACAAGAGTAAACTAAAGCTACCTGTTAAAAAGTTAAGCCCAATTAAATAAAACATGTTTATCATTTTGGAATCAATTTATGGCTTAAAATATTTCATTACATGTTTTATGAGTTAAACTAGCTGCAGTTTTCCATTAAACATGCATCTCTATTAGCAGGATGTACCATTTCTGACCAAATAAAACATCAACTTCTTTATATTGTCTCATGCAATGGACTGTTGTTTTTGTATGTGTGTGTGTGTGTGTGTCTGAATTTTATACATTATTTCTTTTTGGAACTTGTACGAGATCCAGAATGAGAGGATCCAGAGGATGACCTGCGGTTTCTGAAAGAAAAAATAGGAGAAAGCATGCAAACAAGTAAGTTTTAAATGCAATGAATTTCACAGGGAATGAAAAAAAGAGGAAGAGAGTAGGATTTGAAATATACTTATTAGGATTTCATCTTTGCATCTTAGTAGTATGGAACAGTTCACATAATATTTAAGACTCTTCAATTAAGAAGAGTTTATACATTTTTAAAAATGCAAATTCACAAGAATACTATAAAGATCACATGTTTTCTGCATTGTATGTGTATGATTATCTTTAAGATTGGTAATTAAAGGTAGCAAGAATAGATTTTAAAAGCCACAGCTAGACAGAATAAAACGGCCATCACTCCACATACACAAACACACATACGTGCAGCTTAAAATATGCTGCTCCTTGATCCTTCCAAAGCCAGCATTTAAAGAACAACCATTCTTATTCTACAAAACCCAAACCTTTCAGGTGACAATGATCTTGTTCGCCTTTTTTTGCGATCACCAGAAGAAGATCTAGATCGGCTTCTCTTTCTGCTTCTCTCAGTGGAGGATGAGGAATGAGAGCTTGAGTAAGATCTTTTCCTTGGGGTTGAAGAACCCCTGACGGACCTGGAGCTGGATCTTTATTAAGAAATAAATCAGACTTAATCCTGGCATAAACAAAAATACCACTCGATATCAAATGCAGAAATATAAATACAGTTTCAAAGAATACATATTAGTATATGAATACTTACTGCCACGTTAACAAGGACCTAAACGTCAACCATTTTAAATAGTTTGTCTAGGGCCACATCAATAGCTTGTCTAGAACTGACTACATAATCTAAAAGCCATTTATGCTGGTTTAATTGTTGGTTTTCAGTACGTAATAGCAAGCTTGAATATTAAGATGAAGAAATAATGGAGATACAAATTACTCCATATACAGAAGAAAAGGTAGGGGGGTCAATTTAAAAAATGATGTGGTATGCTATATATTTAATAAACCCTTGAAAACAAATATCTGATTCAAGTGTTAGGCTGAACTGATGGCAACAGTCATTTATATACTGTAACACAGAAGATGTTGGTACAGGTAGTCCTCAACTTACAACTGTTCATTTAAACATCAGCTCAAAGTTATGACAGCCTTTGGAAAAAAATGACTTAGGACCTTCCTCGAAATTACGGCCATCGCACCACCCCTGCAGCCATGACTGCAATTTGGGCACTTGGCCACAGGCCTGTATTTATGACGGTTGCAGCATCTTATGGCCAGGTAATTGCAACTGCAACTTTTCCAACTGCCTTCCAACAAGCAAAATCAATAGGGAAGGCTGAATTTCCTTAACAACTGCATGATTCACCTAACCAAGGGGTCCTCAAACCTGGCCACTTTAAGACTTGTGGATTTCAACTCCCAGAATTCCACAGTCCACAAGTCTTAAAGTGGCCACGTTTGAGGACCCCTGAGCTAATCATGATGACTTGGTTAATGATGTATCACTTAGCGACTAAAATTCAGGTCCCACTTGTGATCATAAATTGAGGACGACCTGTAAGAGATTTGCATTTCATATACAGGCAAGTAAAAAGCCCTGTATATGAAATTTATTTATTTCAGCCTGAATAGGTATAAAACTGGAATAGGCTTCTTGAAAAGCACCTTTGGGACAACCATGACCTGGATAACTGAGAATCTCCACAGACATCTAAAGGAGGAACCTTTCAGATTGATTCATTCAACTGCCAAGAGCATATACTTTTTCAAAGGGAAACTTCTATTTTCTGGCTGCCAATTTCTTTACACAAAATATTTGATCTCATTAGTAAATATGGAAAAAAAATTGCATGGAAAAGGGCACCTTTCCTTTTTTTTCATAAAAAGATTAACAGTTTTTGTAATCTGCAGCTCTGGATTTAGCTTTTTATTTTCTTAAAGAATAAAATGTTAACTGAGTTAAGATGCTATCCATTAGATTACAGGTAATCCTCAACCTAATGATGGTTCAGAATTACGACAGCCTTGGAAAAGGGTGCTTTATGGCTGTCGAAAAGACCGCACCATCACTCCTGCAGTCACGTGATCACAAACTGGGGGCTTGGCAACCTGTTCACACTTATGACCGATTGCCAAATGCCCCACGGTCATTACCATTTGCAATCTTCTTTGCTGGCTTCTCCAGAACCTCATTGTGGAATCTGGCAGGAAAGGTTGCAAATGGCTGCTGCCTGCTAAAAAGGCTCCCACTTGTCTCTGCAAGAGCCATCTACCAAACTCAAACCTCTGACAGATGCAGAAACAGAACTGAAGAAGATTCAAGCTCCATTCTTGCATGCTGCTGGAGGATTTCTCTTTCGTGCATGGAAGGAAATTGTACTTTGGTGGGGTGCAGAAATGGAGTTCAAGTTTTGAATGATTAAGCTCCCTGAAGCCCACTGAAACAATTTCCTCCTACAGTTCTATACCTTATGGTTGGGTATAGAAACAAATCCTAAAAAAATAAGCTCCATTCCTGCCCCCTCCCAGAATTCCTTCATAAGCATGGAAGAGAGTGATCTGCTTTGGTGGGCTGTAGAAATGGAATTCAAATCCTAAAGATTTGAGCTCGGTTCCTCACTCTGCCAAAGGAGTTCCCTTCCAGATATGCAGAAAAGCTGAACTGCTTCAGCAACTCTTTCAGCCATCCCAAAGACAAGAACAAGCCAAAATACAAGCAGAGTGGAGAAGAAGGGTGGAATGAGCATGGGATGCCTCAGGCGGTTGGGGAGGCCCTAGAAGACCCACCACAGGCCGTATGGGTTTCTTCACTTAGGGGTTGATCATCCTGCTTGGATTTCGGCAGGATGGTTTTCAGTTCTTGAATGGAGCCTCTCCTAGAGCCTTCCCCCACCCAAGGCACCCCATATTTGGGGCTCTGTCTGCTTAACAACCCGTGAGATCACCTAATGACTGCAACTGGGAAGATGGGTGCAGAACGAAGCAGTCATGTGATGTCTCATTTAACAACGCCTTTGCTCAACAACCATGATTCCAATCCCAAATGGGGTTGTAAGTCAAGTAAAACAAAATAGAAACAATGAGCTGAAGCCAACTTTACCTATATTCGACAAGTCTAGCTCAATCTCTAAAGAGACTACAGACTGGATTCTGAAGCCTCATAAAAAAAAATGAAAGAAAATCATTTTGCTGCTACGTACTTGTTATCTATCATTTATCAAACTCTGATCTTCAGACTAAATATTTCTTACTTCTATATAGCTTAAATAAAAAATTTAACTGAGCACAACAGATATTAGCTCTTAGTGAGTTAATAGATACATTTGCACATAAAATTTTAGAAACCACCTCCACCCAGCAGGCTGCACACTTCAATGCATTCCTAAGTGACCAGGAGCTTATATAATTTTAACATGGTGCAGAGTTAAAAAATGTTATTTTTCTACAAATTCAAATTCTTACTTGGTATTCATAGGCAGCTGTTTACAGAACCAAAATAAGAAAACAGTGAATAGATGCAGAAGTTTAAGATCCTTTCCAGTTGCTTCAGTGATCCTTCCCCCCCCTTTTTTTTTACCGTAAAGTTATTGATAAGATACCAAAAGGTTATTAGCTTGGTAGGCCTACAATTAACAGGTGAAGACAAATTTCACAGATGAACAAAACCTGAAACATTCTTTAGAAAAAATGTTTTAAATGTGATTCATTTTTAAAAAAATGTTTTGGACTGGTGAACACATCAGCTGAACAAGATACATTTTCAGCGAAAAGGGCAACACATTTGAAGAAAACAGTACCTCGCCTACCTTGACTCTATCATACTTCACATAGGAAATATTGCATTGTTGGAAACAATGGCCTGAACTACGTATCAGCATATCCCAGATGCTAATGTCCCACAATCAGTAATGAAACTGAAGCAAAAAAACAGATGTAATAGTTCAGAAACAAACATCAACCATCAACATTAACCACTGAATAGAAAATATATTTTGGCCTGACCTCCAGTTTCCAAAGTGAAAATCCAAGGAAAAATTTTAAACATGCAGTACAGGCAAGAAGACCTAAGGATATTTTTGAGCTAGATGAGCTGTGCAAGGAAGAGTGGGAAAGTATTCCAAAATCAAGAGCAGAAAAAGCTCTCTTAGATCTGGAAGCTTTCTGCCAAGGGAGGTGTTATAAAATGCTGACTAGTACAATGTCTAAACTTCTGCACCTACCATATTCACTGTTTCTCATTTTGAACGTATAAAATAGTATAAATAGTAAGCATGCATTCAAATATGCAGAAAAATTTTTGTTTAACACCGTACAATGTAGAGAGTTTGTCAGCTTCTGTTCACCCAGTAATTCATTGATACATACAATTTGGCCAGAAGTGCCTAAACTTTTGCATGCCATTGGGTTAGAATTAATTTTTAAAAAATCCTGCCTTCTATTTTAAGCAATCATATTGACTACCAATATTTTCACACAGATTTTGGAAAGGGAAAAAGCAGACTGGCAAGGCAGTACTTTACCTATATCTGTTTTAGACAGGGGAGAAAAAATTAACTATGGATATACATTTTAATATAATTACTGTTCATTATTTCCTATTTTTTTGAAATACAAGTAAGTACCAGAAATAGGGAAAAGGCTTTGTTATTTTAAGATTGAATATTCAACATTCAGCGTTTCTGTATATAGTTTAGCTTAGAATACAGATAATATCTGCTAAATTGACTTTACACATACATTTTAGTTAGATTTCCTGTCTTTCCCCTGAAAACTCAAATAATTATCATACCATCCCTCCTCCAATTTTTATAGTCTCCTTTAAAGACCCTCTGAGGGATATGGGTGGTTCAAAGATTGTGAAAAATAAATTAAAACAATAAAAACCTTCACTCTCCCAATTTTTAAACACTTTCTGGAAGAATTTGTAATAAATCATTTTGCTACATTAGTAAATATAATTTCATTTGCTACTAAAATTATATTAAAAGACATTTGTAGCAAATGCTTATAATAAAGTAGTATGGATGGTGACCTCTTCATCTCTCTCTCTCTCTCTTTCTCCCTCTGACAAGCAGAGCTTGCTACCTCATTCACCTTGATTTCGACCCACGAGATCTAGAACGTTCTCTGGAAGTGGAATGAGACCGTGACCTTGAACTGGAAGAGCTTCTGGACCTGAAACAACATGAACATTTTTCTTTTTCGAAGGAACAGAAAAATAAGAATCCAATGAGCTTAAGCTTTTAATTTAACAATATTTGAAATTTACATTATTTTATCTCCTTCACCTCACTGGGACATTTTTCAGAGAGTGATTTAAACAAGCAAACAAAAAACTTGGTTAGAAATTAAGTAGCTGTTTAATCTAATAGAAACAGCATAAGCTGAGTAAGCAGGGCTTATCTATCTTCCAGGTCATGTTATAAATTGCTTTTTGAAATATTCTTCCTGAATAATTTGTCATATATTATGTTTGGATGTTATCACAGAAGATAAGCTTATTGCCTTTGTGAAGTCCAGTCAATGAATAATAATAAATAATAAATGATTACAGGTAGTCCTTGACTTATGACCACAATTGGGGCCAGAACTTCAGCACTAAAAGATCTGGTCATGTGTCATCACATAACTGTGTCCAATTTTAGTACTTTTTGCCTTAGTTGTTAAGCGAATCCAGCTTCCCCCACTGACTTTCATTGCCAGAAGCTGGCTGGGAAGGTCACAAGTGGTGATCACGTGACCTTGGGACTTCGCAACCATCATAAATACAAGCTGGCTGCCAAATGCCCAAATCACAATCCCACGTCCAGGGGATGCTGTAATGGTTGTAAGTGCAAGGATTTTTCAGTACTATTGTAACTAGTTGCTAAACGATTGGTTGTAAGTTAAGGACTACCTGTAAATTTAAATTACATTCTCTTGAAAAGGATTTATCTTAAAACTTTAAGAATTTTCCCAATGGATTTTGATGTGTAAGTCACAGACAAAAATGAATCTTGTTAGTATGAACTGCACAGTTCAAAACAGAAAATAGTCAAATTAAAGTTACCTATACCAGAAGTCTACCACAAATGACATACTCCACAAGAATTTGAAAGTAACTTAATCACAATTCAATAACCCTTAATGAAAACCAAGTTGTATTGAGTCTCAATATATCTATTCAGAACTAAGTCTTAGAGGGATTTGTTCTGACACAATCCTATTTTATATATTTAGAAATATTTGCCAGTAGACTCTATGAGATTTTCTTTTAAATAAATGAGTGTCTTCTTAGTCGTAATTAATTTCGTTTCTAGGCACAGTCTTAAGAGTTCAATAAGTTATTTTCAATATTTATCCAATGTTTGTAGAACATCTGGAACATTGCTGATTTATGATATATCAAAGCATTCATACCTTTCATTTTTAAAATTGTATTTCTCTGACAGATTTTATCTATTTTAGTTTAAGTAGCAGCAAACTGCAAAAACTGATGAGTAGTAAAACCTTTTTAAACAACTTTTTATAAAGCTTGCTGTGTTTACAGGACAAGAAGTCGTTAACACAAGGAAAATACAAATAGAGGTCTCTAGGTTTATACATTTATTTCAATTTTAAGTGTTCCCATAATAGAACTTACAAAACAGGATAATTGTACAATTTCATTTACCCTCAGTAAAACAATACTGGATTTTCTGCTTAATAAGAAGGTAATTTATTTTAAAAGAGCTCTAGAAAATGTATTTAATATTACTATTCTGGCCTAAATTTGTGATTTATCAATCATACAAAGATCTAAGATCATTAAGTAAATAAATTACAGATTTTCAATCTGAAATATTTTAATTAATTTTAAAAAACGGACTGGATCCAGAACTTTCATGAGCTGAGTTGGATGAACAGACACTCTTGCTTGATGAATAATGCTTTTGATTATTCTTTATGAAAAAAATAATAAAGTATCTTTTTGGGAATCAATATAGAGGAACTCAGTAATAGCCACTATCAGCAGCATATATTTTGAAGCCTTGCATTTTATTTGACATTGGTCAAATAGCTTGACTCATTTTATTCCTGATAAAAGCTGGCCTGCTGGGAGATAGCAGAATAAAAGACCAGTAACTGAAGAATCTGCTTACTAAATTCAGCAGTGGTACCTGTATACATCTGCCAATGAGACATTATTTTTCTTGGGAAATCCTAGTATCCAGATTTCTACCTAGCTAACCTTATGGATCTGCCTTAAGAAACTGAACAAAGTTCATAAAGAATTAAACACCTCTAAGCACAATCTCCTTTTTTAGTCAAACACCAAGATCCTCATCCAGAAAGCCAGAATTCTTGCTTTTCTGGTTTTCTATAAAGCATATAAACCAGATAAATTCAAAGGTTCACTTGCTGAATCAATCTCCTGGCTTTGTTCATTATCTCTACCAGCTCCTTGACAGCTCACTGCAGTGCCTTACGAAGACTGTTGGGTGGAAATATGGATTGATTTAAATCTCCAAAAGAAAAAGCATAGATTTTAACTTCTCATTTGATCCAAGATTCAAACTTGTGTATTCTCTCAAAGATTGTCCTGGCAGTTTGGAGTAATAATTCTTCACATCTTTCTTAAAACATTTGCATATTACTTCAATTAGTTTCTAATTCACAGTTCCTTTTTATGCTTTTTTTAAATGTATGATTCTTACGTCAACTCCCCCCCCCCCAGGATAGTTTTATTATGATATAAGGATCAAACAAAGCTATACTGTTTTTCAATATTATAGAGTCTGGGGGGAGGGGAGCAGTAATTAAGCTGAATGGAGAGGAACACAGACACAAAAATGAAAAATACCCACGTTGAGGTACTAGGTTATTCGTGTTGGATATCTTTAATTTATTCTATACAATTTTAATTATAGAATTCACATGTTTATAATGAAAAGTATAGTAATAATGTTTTTGTTCAAATATTTGAAATTTTTAGAATTTTTTAAAATCTTGAAAAATCTAAATTAAAAAATCCTTTAAAAATGTACTCTGTAGTCTTGAGTTCACCATTTCAACAATCGAGTAAAAATCTGTACCTTATGAAGTACTGTTAGTTAAAATCTTTAAGAAACTATTTTTAATTTATTTTGTAACCAAATAGTTTTGAACTTCCGGTTCCTTTTTTTTTATTAAAATTTTTTTGTTTTTTAAACATACAATCATTTATAAAAATACAATAAAATTTTAAAGTAGAAGAAAAAACAAACAAAAAAAGAAACAAAACAAACAAAAAAACCCCTACCCTCCCTCCCACCCCCAACCCCCCTCCCTTCACTTCCCAGAGCAGAATACAGGGTTAATAATAATAAAAAAATTTATAGTAATTAAGAAAAAAGAAAAAAAAGAAAAGAAAAAAGAGAAAAAAATATCATAATTAACCTTTAACTCCATAACCTATAAAGCAATTCTCTATAATATTTAAAATTCATTCATAAAATAAATGAAACTTTTTAATTCCATACTTTTTCTGAATATAATCTATCCACCTTCCCCATACAATAATATATCTTTCTTGTGTATGATCCTTTAAATAAGCAGAAATTTTTGCCATTTCTGCAAAACTAGATACTTTAAATATCCATTCTTCTAAAGTAGGCAAGGAATCTTTCTTCCAATATAAACCTACTAGTAACCTTGCTGCAGTTAATAAATTCAACATCAAAGTAGTTTTTTTTTCATTTAAGTCAACAAAAATACCAAGTAAAAATAGTTGAGGAGTAAACTTTATCTTTTTTCTAAAAATCTTTTGAATGTTCCACCAAATCATAATCCAAAAAGCCTTTACTTTTTTACAATTCCACCAAATATGAAAGTATGTCGCATCATTATTGCCACATCTCCAACATTTGGGCTGTATATTGGAATACATACAAGATAATTTTTTAGGATCTAAGTGCCATCTATAGAACATTTTATAAAAATTTTCTCTCAAATTTTGAGCTTGTGTAAATTTAACATTTCTTATCCAAATTGTCTCCCATAAATCCAATGAGATCGGCTCCTGTATATTCTGAGCCCATTTAATCATACAGTCTTTAACCAATTCTGTTTCCGAATCTAACTCTAATAAAACATTGTATATTCTTTTTATATGAGCCGGACTTTGGTTTTTAATCTGAATAACCAATTGTCTATCTTCTAGTGTTATCCCCTCTTTCTTGTCTACAGTCCATGTATCCATTATTTGTAAATATTGAAACCATGACTGTAGAATATTTTGCTGCCTTAGTACATCTAGGGATTTCAAATGCCAATTCGAACCAGAACGAATTAACAATTCTTTATACGAGATTTTGTCAAAATTTGTCCTCTTAGAAGTTCCCTCAATTGCATGTCTGGGAATCCCCCAGATAGGTATTTTATAATTTAATCTATAATAATACTTCTTCCAAACACGAAGTAAGGCATTCCTCAAAATATGTGATTTAAAAGTCCGATCAACTTTCTTATTAAAAATTAAATATGCATGCCAACCATATATTAGATCCCAGCCTTTCAAAAAAAGAATATCCATATTTGTTAAATTAAGCCAATCACTTAACCAAGTTAGGGTGGCTGCATCATAATATAATTTCAAATTAGGTGCCTTAAGTCCCCCTCTTTCGCGAGCATCCTGTAATGTCTTAAATTTAACCCTTGGTTTCTTCCCGGCCCATATAAAATTATTGATACCCTTTTGCCATTCCTCCAAATTTGCCTCTTTTTTAAGAATAGGTAAAAATGAACTTCCGGTTCTTGATCCACTTGCCCTATTATTGCTGCCCAAATGTTAGAAAAAAGGTCTGGTAACAGTATTTGGATGATATCTACAAAAGCCTGAATTGTTTTCCCTTCAGCTCATGAAAAGCTAACTTTACGCAGCATTTTTTTCTAATCTTTTATGAACAAGTAAGAGTAAAGTCCTTTGGAATTCCATTATTTTTGCAACATATATTTCTGATTGATATGTTTTATTTTTCTCAAGTCTATCAATGTTATAAATAATGTAGTTTTTCTTAGTCCACACAACCTTTTAATCCTTGATCTTTCTCCAGCAACTTTATCCCCCTCCCTTTATTTATAATTTATATTCAGTAATTATTGCTGTCTTCTATTTTCTCTTAATTTTAGATCATGATATATAGAATTAACATGTTGGTCAATGTGTTTAGTAGGCATGCAAATCAAGCTACATTCTCGTCTATGAAATGGATAATTATTTCCCCATATGTTGTTTGAGTTATAACATAATTGTATTAAACAACTGAATGTTAATATTTACCCCAGTAAAATTTTCCACCTGCATGTTAAGCTTATTTAGTATTGACTTTCAAATGTAAACTTGAGCTAATGAGTCAGAAAAAGCTATTTATGTAGAAATAAAAACCAAGAGTATTTGAGTCTACTAGCCTAAGGTCTGAGCTTTAGATTGTTTCTTAGCTGTATAAATACAGCATATGAATTTCCACATTACAGGGATGATGATCCCCAGCAGTAGATGGAGAAGCAAAGAAACAATTAGTGGTTTCACACTTCCCAATTTTCCAACAAGGACCACATCATTGTACTGGAATCCCTTCCAAAAGTGAAAGGATGTCTTCTTTTTATAAAATGTTATACCTGAATATAATCCAATATAGAAAATTTTATTTTTTTCCCCTTTTCTATAAAAGGCACTGGGCTACATTTGTAAGTTGATGAGGATAGTATAAACATGTTTTAAGTCAATGAAAAAAAAATCCAAAATATAGAGACTACAGAATCCTGAAATCAACAAATTCCTTCTTAATTGGAGTGTTTTTATCCAACATAGTTTTCCTTTAGGGATATTTTAAAATATAACTATATTTGTATTTGGCAGTTTCTCCATATACGTTTTTTATGAATTCATCATCATAAAACTGATACAAAATAGAGATGCTGTAATTTTTGGTAAAAAAAAAATGCTGCCAAAAACTAGGCTCTTCAAGGGTTAATGTATATACAGAGACCCTTGTTTATTTAGAACAGACATGTCAAACTTGCGACGTCACGTGACGTCGCACTACATATCAGAACTTTTTCCCCATTGCCGGCAATGGGGTGGGCGTGGTTTTGTGATGACGTGTCCGGCCCACGGGCCGGCAATTTGGCACCCCTGATTTAGAAGTTTAAATACAAGTTTAAGTTTTATTATTTTTTAAATTCCAATCCCTTCCCTTAAAAATAAGGATAACTTTAATTTTTTATAAGTTTCTGCCAATAAGCAGATTTTTAAATACTCAGATTAATATTTGTCTCTTACCAAGCCATTAACAAAAATGTATTTTGAAGTCACACAATCTATACGACATAGCAGGACTATATTTAGCTGCTACAAAAATACTAAAATTAAGAACCAAGTCTTTAATTTCATGGCTTCTAAACTCACAATTGTCATAAAACTCAGAATAACCACCTCCAATTCACCCATCTTTAAGGCTGTTTATCCCTGCAGCTGGATATGTAAGATTGATTAGACTAACTTAAACTGCAAAAAAAAAATAATTTAAAAGTTAATCACAAAAGAGAGATAAATAAAGAAAGTTAGATACTGACATTTTGTCTGGCGTTACCCTTGACCTGTACCCGTTTACCTGGACCTAGACCTTGAGCTTGAGTGGGAGGATGAGCGAGATGAAGATCGTGAAGAAGATCGAGACTTGGAACAACTTCGCCTAGCACTGGAAGATGTCTTCTTATTGGCAGAATCTTCTTCTTCACTATCAAGATTATATTTAGAGAGATCAGCATCATCCTCATCTTCATCCTGGAAAATAATACTGGCAGCTTTTTATGCTCGTTAGGAAAAAAGCAGGTATACTAATTTGATCATAAATCCCCCAGAACATGTCCATAACATTTCTCAATAAGGACAAGGACGTTTATGCAGCCTGTTCACATGATGTACAGATAGAGATAAATTCTATAAACTTTAGATTCAGAAAGAAGAGCTGGAAATCTCATTTAGATAAGAAAACTGATGTGGCCGGCTACTATATTTAGACTAACATACATCAAAATGCTACAGAACAACCATGTCTGTCTCTCTGTTTTTATCACCCCTAGTTCCACGCAGAATGTATGATGTTGTTAAAATACAATCTATTAACATCATTTCTTTTGAGGGAAAAAGGAACAGTCTTTACCAGTTCAAACTGATATTAAAAATTGAACTTAAACAGTAATTTACGTGGCAGGAATCATGCATACTGAATAAATATTTAATTCATACTAGAATAATTGTTTCCTCTCATGCAAGGTTAAGTTACCATATCTCATATTGCTTTTTGTTTTGCAGTATATATATGTATGTATGTACATATGTATGTATGTATGTTTCCTATAGTGTTCCATCTCAACAACTGACTCATGGTGGGGTACATAATAAAACAAATACCAATTAAAAATAATTTTTCAATTGATTGTATATTTGCTTTCTTAATTTCTGAAAGTTCCCTTGAGGACCAAACAAAAAGATGTCTGTTTAAATATACACAAGTGTTTTGTAGAACAAGCATCAATAACCATTTCACCTCTAAATGTACAAACACATCTTTTATAAGACACTGAAAACTGATCTAATTATGCATTATTTTCTAAAGACTTTTCTAAAAAGTCCAGCATTCAAAGGACTTTGCATGTTACTTAACATACAGAAATAAAAGTGTTAATGTTTCTCATCTTGCTGGATAAGGAAAGTGATCTCTGACATATTAGAGCTGAAAAGTTAAGGTTAATACCATTCTGTACATTTATCTATGAATGGAGTGTTACATTTTGAAGATTTTATTTTACCTCATCTAATTTATACTTAGACAGATCTCCATCCTCATCCTCCTCTTCTTCCCCTTCAGATTCCTTATCTTCAACTTCCTTTAAGATAGATGCAGGACCAACAGGTTTTCCTCTATATTTTTTCTTTTTGCGGCCAAACTAACAAAAAACAAAACATAAATTTAAGAATTCTTATCCAAGAATTAAGAGCCATTGGATTATTGCAGAATATGCAGTTTTCTATTGCCTCATTTCTCTGCAGAAAGGAAAAAACCCCACACAATGCAGGTTATTAGTTGAGTTAAATAGATCTAACTCTGGCACAAGTCCAGCTATATATTTTAAGATGAACTCTTAAACTAGAGGGGTACAGAAGTTAATGCTTCCTGAGCTGAAATTTTCAATCCCTTTCTACAAATGTATATATACATATATCAGTGCAGGCAAGAGATGAGTGAACAAATGGTCTGCTTTTATATGAAGGATCCATTATTTTTACTAATAGAATTCCTTATTTATAGGCAAACATTTTATTCATTAATGGAATTAATATTAGCTTTTTGCCTAACTCACATTTTTTTTGGCTTCTGGCCAATGAATATGTATATTTAAAATACAAAATAAAAGTCTCATGCATACATTGGCTGGTGGAAAAAATAGAATGGTTGAATTTTTTTGTTTTAACCTTTTTTCTGTTTACTCCTTTTGGTGGGACTAGTTAAATTCAACACATTTTTTTCAGTCAGAGTAACTAATTTGATGTACAAATTGATTTAATGGAAGGACTGATTAGTATGTAACTTATCTGTATAAAGAATCTATAGTTTTATGCAACATTTCCCATCCTAGATATGGTTCTCCAGAACTATCTAAGAGCACCAATGTAGAATTTTAACATACTGAAATAGGAAAATTATTAAATATATTAAGTGTTATCACGGTATCAATTTTTACTACATAAAAATCAAATTTGGTATTTGTACTTCATGCTTTTATGGCTTGTTCCATGCCTCAGGAATTTATTCCTCTACAAAGATGTAACAGTAATAAAGTTGGAAGGGACCTTGCTCAGGCAGGAAGCCCTATATCATTTCAGACAAATGGCTGTCCAGTCTCTTCTTAAAAACTTCCAGTGTTGGAGCATTCACAGCCTCCGGAGGCAGGTCGTTCCACTGATTAATTGTTCTGTCAGGATATTTCTCCTTAGTTTTAGGTTTCTTCTCTCTTTGGTTAGTTTTCATCCATTGCTTCTTGTCCTGCCTTCAGGTGCTTTGGAGAATAGCTTGACTCCCTCTTCTTTGTGGCAACCCCTGAGATATTGGAACAATGCTATCATGTCCCCCCTCGTCCTTCTCTTCATTAGACTAGACATACCCAACTCCAGCAACTGTTCTTTATATATTTTAGCCTGCAATCCTCTAATGTTAAAGCTAAGCATTATGTTACAGTCTATGAGATTTCTTTTAAAACCTTCCTTCGGTAATCTTAAACCAATGTATTATTTCAACCAAAAAATACAACCGACATTTTCAGAGCCATGTTTGCGAATTAGAACTAAAAAAATGACTTTAGGAATGAGTTTTCCCATTAGTATATTTTAAAAGTAACATTTCATTACATACATATCACTCACCTCATCATACTCCCCATCTGATTCTTCTCGTTCTATATATTCAACATTCTCTCTTTCATTGAAGCCCCCACCATATCCTACAAAAAGAAATCCCCAAAAATCTCAAAAAGTAAACCAATACTATAAGGATACGACATGTTACTTTATATTAAGTAAAAGTAACAGCAAAGATTTCTACGTAAGTGCCTCTTAGTTTGCATAAAAAGGCTGTAAAAACTGAAAAGGAAACAGAGGTATGGGAGCCATCTATATACTATTTCATTAGTTTTATCTGTGCAGATAAATTAGAAGTATACAAAAGCAATGGCAGTCAACAGAATTTCCTGGCAGTTATTTGAAACTAAGTAAAGGCAGTTGACAGAGTGGCGTTGTGGCACAAGACTCTCTAAGAGTCTCAGAGAGGAAGAAAAGATTGTAGAAATGCAAACAAAATCATGTTGTGCGAGAAACAGTTCTAGGAACCAACTGAGATGCACATTTTTCAGCCCCACCAATTCCAACTGTTTAGATCAGGGGTGTCAAACTCGCAATGTCACGTGACGTGTCACGACGTATCGCAATTTTTTTTCCATTGCTGGGAATGGGGTGGGTGCGGTTTCGCTATGATGCATCCAGCCCGCAGGCAGGCAGTTTGACACCCCTGGTTTAGTACTGTCAAAGCTATAAATGTAAATCACATCTTGAGCAGCATGCATATAAAAGACATCAAACTTTCTGTTAGATGCAACATCTGCCACTGTAGGAAACATTTTTTATACTGAAATATAAATATTTTATACTGAAATATTTTTTTAAAATCACCATCTGCCATAGTATTAAAAAACATTTACGCAGCTATGGACATCCTCCTATATCAGTGGTTCTCAACCTTTTTAATGCCGCGACCCCCAACCGGTCGTAAGTCGAGGACTACTCAACCGGTCGTAAGTCGAGGACTATTCAACTGGTGCAGCACCGTTTGCAGAATGGGACTTTTGGCGGGCTCAGCAGGGCAGAGACAGCCTGGACAATTCCCATTGGCTTTTGAAAGCCAATAGAATTAGACTCTATTCAAGACAGTCTATTCTATTGGCTTTCAAAAGCCAATAGAATAAAAGGGAGTAGCACAGCTAAGGGGAAAAAAAATGGCGGACTGTGTTGTTTGGCGACCCCCCTGAAATGGTCGTTCGACCCCAAATGGGATCCCGACCCACAGGTTGAGAACCACTGTCCTATATGCTCACTGAGAAGCCAAAGATTCTTCCCCAATATTTCAGTCCCTGTGAGTCTGAAAAATAAAGGGATGCATCACCAGAGATCTTGAAAATATTCAACATTCCACATGTTGAATATTTTTTTAATACAGAGAGGGGCATTCTAAGAAGCCACTAGTATCATTTGACCTGAATTCCTCTGAAATCTATTAGAATATTTATCTTGATCAAATTTATGAACTGATAATCTATTTTTTATTAAATCAGTTATCCCTAAGTTAGTTTAATATCAATTTGTGCACATTCGATATGATAGCCCAGCTTAGAAATCAGTAGGAAATTCCAAATGAATCAACTCACTAATTTGAGCCAGATTGCTGCTATGCTGCACACCTTAACTATTTGATATAGAATATTTTCTAGAGCATTTTATCTAAGGCTATTACCTGTTCTTTCTTCAAGTTTGGCATACTTTGGAGTGTTGCACATATTGCATTCTGACCTCCGGGCCCAATTAACATTACCACATCTTTGGGAAGAAAAATACATCAGTTTAAAAACTGAAAATAATACTAGTAATATTAACAAGATAAATATAGCTGACACCTGAAGAACCGGAATGTTTAAAATAATTTTTAATTGAAGGAGCAGAGTTTCTCTCCTATATTTCAGATACAACAAATAGCATTTAAATGTCAAGCAAAACTTTTTTGGCACATATATTGGTGCATATATATTTTTGATATTATATTTAGTGCCCCCAAAAATCTTGTCATAGTTACAATTAAGCCTAAATCTGAACAAAATACAAGCAAAAAAAAGAGCAAACAAAATATTTTACTTTGACAAACAATTCATTGGTTTATTTGGTTGATTTTTTGCAAGTCAGCAGGTTAAAGAGATGGAAATATCTCCTGTCATATATAGATTTTATAGCAATGGCACAATTCTCATATGGTATCAATGAAAATACAAATAAAATCAAACTAAACAAATGCTGGTAGACAATAATGAAATCAAGTTCAATTTAGCTAAAACTGACAACTACATTAGTAATACAAATAAATGTTCCATTTTTTTAAAAAAAACAATTCAATTGCCTTCTAATAGATATCACAAATTGTCTAAAGTTATATGGAACATGCAGTTTAAAAAATTCTCACTGAATGTTAAAATATTATATTCAATACCAGGAACAGAACATTTGTAGTTATTTTCATTTTTAAGGCAGTCCACTTGCCAAATGATCTTTATTTAATGCATCAACCAATTTGCTGGATCTACTAAATGAGTAAATTTAAATCTGTGCTCTTACAGAACAGCAATAGATTATCATGGTAAACCCAAGTGCATTTATTTAGCAATAAGATCCTCTGTATTCAATGAAATAGTCTTATGAGTAAATAGGCATAAGAACAGGGTGAACGAATTATAAAATGGATAATATCAGCAAAAAAGCTAAAAATAAAGGACAATAAGATTAAACTAAGAATAAATTCAAGTTTCAAGATCAACGTACGTTTTACATTGCCAGTCATTAGCACTAAAGAGACCCCGGCTCTTTTCAGCAAGTGTCTTCCCTATCTCAGTCCCTCCAGCTTTCATCATTTTGGCTTCTGTAGTTTTTTCTGAAAGCAGAAAACAGGCATGTAAATCTATCTTTTTCCCGTACATTTAGTTTTGGAACAGTCCCATCAAAATAAACACAGTTGATATAGTCACCTCGACCACATCTGTTACAGCTGGTTCTTCTAGCAAAATTAACGTTACCACATCTGCAAATAAAAGAAACATTATTTTAAGAACTTTCAGTGTAATTAATATTTCCAAAAGTTTTGGCTCTCAAGCTTGTGCCAATTAGTTCAGAACTCATGCTTTTTAAAATGATTTATAAAGAAACATTTGCATTACACTTACAAAAATAACTGCCACTTCCTTTTAGTTAACTACCACTACAAATTCTCCCACATAATGTAGAGAGATCACAATGAGTCAGACATTTGTTTGACATTTTTAGAAGCATATAATACGATTAAATCCAAATGCAAATGGATACACCTTGAATTTTAAAAGGCGAATGATAAGACAGCACGGCTTTGAAAAGCTTTATTTCTTACATATCTAAATTACCCAGTTCATTTCCTATGTAATGCATCAACCTGTTAAAAAGATGATACCAACTCAATATAGTAAACCACTTTGCACGTCGAAGAAAGCGTTCAATCAGACGATGCAATTAATCCACTGCGCACTTAAAAAATACACCTCAATTTGCTTCCGGGCAGCTGAGCGCATAAATTATTACTAGTAGTACTCTTACTCTTATTACTTCTATTACTGTTCCAGATAATATCTTATGTCGGGATCCTCCCCTGGAAACGTCAAGCTGGTGGTTTCTGACCTTGCGCTGGCCGTTCGGCAGGATGAGGCCTAACAAGGAATCGCAGTGACCGCGACAAACACGTGCTACACCTGGGGCCTCCCTAAAAATCGGCCTCGTTGCAGGGAGGGAAGGGAGAAAAAAAAGGGGGCGGGGGGAAGCCGTCCGTTCCCGCGACCCCAGGGAAGAAGGCCTTGGGACCGCCCGGGTCCCTCCCGTGGCCTCAACAGGCCAAACCCTGCCAGCTTCCTCCGCCCTGGCTCCCTTACTTTTTGTCCGGGCAGATCCAGTCTCCGTCGCTGACGCGGAAATTCTTAGTCGACATCTCGGCCGAGGGAACGGCCCAAACGCTTTCTCCACTCGGCGCCTCGCCGGACGAGCCCGAAGCAGGCACCAGCTCGGCTTCGGCGGTGACTGGCCCGGACTGCGGGGTCTTGCGGCAAAAAGAGCTGCCCTCCACGACCGCCTCTTTCCCTGTGACGGGTTCTCTAGGTAAAATTATTTACTTGTTTTATTTCTTTGTCGGCTAGAGTCCCTCGTAGCCGCTCGGCGGAGCGTTGGGGAAAATGCACCGAACGGATTCAGAAACGAAGGCAGAAAGAGGAGGTCGTCAGGCATTCCATTAACTGACCCTTGAAGCGAGGATGGTGAGCGAAGGCTGGGAAGTTCAGAGAGCGACCTCTAGTCTTTGGAGGACTTTATGGCAGTGGCATAAATAAGTTGACGTCAGAAGTTTATTTTGTGCTTCATTGATTGTATTGTAAAGTTCTCCCTATTGATTACGGAGAACGGCGTTTCTCACCCTCAGGAACTTTAAAATGTGTGGACTTCAACTCCCAGGGATAAACACTGCTGTAGACCACAGTAAGTTGTTGGGTAGTCCTTAAATATTAAAAAGATGCCTGTCGATCATGAAGTAGCAGCACAATACGGAGCAACAACATGGTTGAAAATTAAGGAAGGAGCGTGCCATTACTATTTAATGTTTATGCATCGTATAGACGCATAAAGAGAAATGAGAAACACTGGACTAGAATTAGACATTGGGACTAAAACTGCTGGAAGAAATAGCAATAGTTTCAAATAACCTGATGCACTTGGACAGCTGGAAGAGAGAAAGATCCTGTTGAAGGAGAAGAGTGCAAGAGACATCTGCTGCTTAATACTGAAAGAAAAAGCCTCATCGGACATAGCCAACGGAGAAGAGCGCAAATAGATGGTGATCAATTTGAAGTAGTAAAAATTATCTTTTTAGAGTCAAAAATTCATCCAAATGTCCTTAGTCATGAAGGGGGGGAAGAATAGAGAAATGTTTACTACTTGGGGGAGAAGGACAAACCATTAAACTGCTGAGATTATACTGGTAACAAAGATACATATTATTAATGCTATGATTCCTCCACTTTTAATGTCCTCGGTAGAAGTCATTCCCCCTGAGTGAGGAATGGCCCCCTTCCTACTTGCCTTTCGTAAAAAGGCATCAAGATACAGTTTTTCCATCAACTTTGGGTACCATTTGAGTCGAACAAGTGATTAAGGGATGTCTGTCTTTCCCACAATCTTGAGTTTTATCTTTTTTGTTTTTCTGTTTTCACTTAGTGTTTTATTGTTTTTGTATACTGTACACTTCCCAGAGTCACATTTTGTGACATGGGCAGCTGCATATTTATTAAAGAAACCAACAAATGCAATAACAGTACATGTCTGTGAGAGCTGGACTAGCAAAAGGGCTGAACAAAGATCCATTTGAATTGTGGTGCTTAAGAAAATTGGTAAAAATATTTGCGACTGCCTAACAACATGCAAGAAGACCGCTGCTAGTTGATTTCACAAGCATAAATCTACAAGAATTGGAAGCAGTTAATAAAATGATGTTTGTTGCATTATTTTGTTGAGGGATGGAACAATATTGGGAAGCAGTAGGGAAATGTAAGCAGAAACAAATGTGTGTGTTGGGGGAGAGAATTGAAGTTAAAAGCTTGCTTAGAAATACAATTTTTACAGTCTTTCCTGCATTGGACAAGGAAATGGGCAAGTGTTTTGGTTCACTCTCTCAGATAACTGGGGGTGAAAAGCTACAAAAGAGAAACCAACCTGGTTCTTATTTTTTTTGTTTTTTGCTTTTGCAAATGAGCAATTCTCAGATCAACAGCTGAACCAAAAGACAATAATCCTTCTTTAGAGATATTAAAGCTTTTTGGATTAAGATTTGGTGGAATATTCAAAAGATTTTTAAGAGAAAGATAAAGTTTACTCCGCAATTATTTTTGTTGGGTATTATTATTGTAGATTTTGATGTTAAAGAAATCAATTTGATGTTGAATCTTATAACAGCTGCAAGATTATTGGTCGGGCAATATTGGAAGAAAAACTCACTGCCTACTTTGGAAGAATGGATACTTAAGGTGTCTAATTTAGCAGAAATGGCAAAAATCTCCGCCTACTGGAAGGAGATACATTATGGTTTGGAGAAGATGGATTGATTATATTCAAAAGAAATATGAAACTGAAAATTATTACCTTGCTTTTGAGTAGATTTTAGATAATTATTAATAGTTTTAATTATATTATTATTTTTGTTTTAATTTGTTAATATTTGTTTTGAGAAGGAGTTAAAGTGTGTTATGGTTTTGATTGATGTATAGTTGGTTTATTTTTGTTTATTTGTTACCCTATAATCAGCTTTGGGAAGTGGGGAAAGGGGCGAAGGGATGGGTGGTTTATATTGTAATAAATTTGTAAAATTTTAATAAAAGAAATAATCCTTCTTTCAAATACTGTGATTCAGTTTTCTGAACAATAGGGACAAGCACATTCAGACATGCCTAAACTGGGAGAAACTGGGAGGTGAAAGAGCATATTGAACTGCATAATATTGTAGAAAAATATGAAAAAAATGCAAAAAATGCAAAAGCAAACTAGAGAAAATTACATGAACACTTTTCATGTTGTGTGAATATATTAACAAACTAATAAATGGGATAAAACAAGCTTAAGGTATATATAAAAAAGAAAACTAATATTGACAAAATTACCCATCTCTAAAATAATTAAGCCCTTCGTAGGCATTGTTGCAGCAGATGGCAGCTCTTAATTAGCCACAACTGATCTCCAAAATGTTAAGCAAGGTTAGACCTTGTTAGTACATAGAGATAAAAATCTGTAGAAAATCTCAGAGATTTTGTTTGCTACAGTGGGAAATGGAAAGAAAAAAACCCCATCCTGGGCTTTTGTACTGCTACCCAGGAATCTACACAAAGAAGTTTATGAGGATTTACTTTCTTACTAATGAGAAATATATTCATATGAAAAAAGCTACAGGCTGGTTCTAAAGTAGTACACTAGCTGTCAGGTCTTTTTTCCTTATTTTTAAACTGCAATACATCATCCTGGAAAGGGCTGCTGGTTTGATATTGGGAGAATAGAATAGAATAGAATAGAATAGAATAGAATAGAATAGAATAGAATAGAATAGAATAGAATAGAACCTGGAAGAGACCTTGGAGGTCTTCTAGTCCAGCCCCTTGCTCAAGCAGGAGAACCTGTCATTTTAAGTGACTGTCTAGTCTCTTCTTAATCTGAACCCCTTGTTAAAAAAAAAAAAGTTTGAAAAAAAGTATCTTCAATCACCAAAGCTACAGTTGATCAAAAACAATCAACTTCATCTTTTGTAGTTAGAAGGCAGGATTTAATTTTTTTTCTTGTCATGGAGAAAATCTGAACAAATGTCTGGTTGATTAAAGGCACTTTTTTATATATTTGTTTATATGCAATGTTATTGCTTCTTTTTATAGTCATTTGAACAGCTATTATTTATCCACAGTTTTCCAGAATTTTGATTATTAAGGTCTACACTAATCAGATATTGCTACATCAGAAAATGCCAGGAACAGTGAATTTTGAGGGTTTTTTTTTTTTTGAGATAGGTGACATGACTGGACAAAAGACTTTTCTACATTACAGCCTTTTGGAGCTTGTCTGTTGTACTAAGATGGCTGGAAATAAAACAGACTTAAGAAAACTTTTTCTGGTTCCAGTCCCTTATCTCTCTCTCTCTCTCTCTCTCTCTCTCTCTCTCTCTCTCTCTCTCTCTCTCTCTCTCTTTTTGGCCACAGTAATACCAGGTGTTCTGCCCAGATTGTGATTAATCCAGCTCCTGACTGGTGGAGTTTTCTTTTTTCTTTTTTTGTCACCTACTCATGTTAGGAAAACAAATGCCAAGTGCTTTTGCTTCTGCGGGCATGCCTTTGGAAAACTAGTTAAAAAAGTTTTATAGTTCTTCCTGTCATTTAGAACTAGAGTGTAAAACTTGGCAAAACCTTTATCAGTGTAAAAAAACCAGGAAGATCAAAGCTAACAGCTACTATTTCATTTCACCCACTTAAAGAGGAAGACAGAAAGAAATGGCTTCACTATTTCACCTGTGGAAAGAAGAAATGTGCACATAAATATCCTATCTTTGGTGATGGACAGCACAGCTGTAGAAGGTGGAGATTAAGGACAGGAAAGGGCTCCCACAAGAGCATGCTCCAGGATCAAAGCATTTGTATAGGATAGAGCAGGGGTCTTCAAACTTGGCCCTATTATGACTTGTGGACTTCAACTCCCAGAATTTCTCAGCCAGGCACGCTGGCTGAGGAATTCTGGAAGTTGAAGTCCACAAGTCATAACAGGGCCAAGTTTGAAGACCCCTGAGATAGAGGAAAGCACAGCAGATGAACAGGTTTCCCCTCCTAGCCACAGCAGAGGGGTTAAAACACAACTTTGGAGAACTAGAGAACCGATTTCTGATGACATCTTCCATTCCTGCCTTCTCAAAATGGTAGCTGGCCCACCCTTGTGCCAGGACAAGCAGAAAGTGTGAATTGGCCTGAATTCGTCTTTAAAAGCTGTTATATTAATAATCTCAATGCTTTTTAAAATTATTTGTATTATTATTTGTGATAAGCAGGGACTAGAGTCTTGGGATCTGCAGATGATCAGAAAGGAGCAGATAATGCGAAAAAAGCAATACTGATGCTCAGTAGAAGTATTCTAAAGTTTATAGTTATTGAAGCATTTTTTTCTTCTTTGAGAAGAAATATGCTATAGGCATACATATAATTAAACATATTTGTTAAAAAAACATCTATTTCTCACTATGGTGTTTTCACCAAAATTATTTGTGTGTGCTTGCTTCACAATGCTTTAATTACATAATTGAAGAAGAAACCCAAGAGCTTATATCACCAAGCTGCATGCTAATATAATGGATGTCTCTGGAGATTCTAAGATACTAACATTGCTCTTTTGGTGAAGGCTTAGTAATTAGGCTGTGTGAATCACTGAAGTGGTGTTTTTCTTCAAACAAATGTCTCACTGAGCTGTTGTGCAAAATGATGCCCAATTATTATCAAAAGCTCTCTACAGCCAAGGTATATCGAAAGAGCTGCTTGGAGATATTTGCAAGTCTTCTGTGTATGCATGCAAGGAAGTCTCTTCTGTTGGCATATTTCATAAAATAAAACACGTTCTCAAAGCCTATCTCAATGTTTTAGTTCAATGTGGAGGTCTCTTTTTATTTTATTTAAACCCTATCTCAAATCAAATCTGAACCCAATGAAGGCCGTTCCAGGTAACGTAATACTGCATTGCTCAAGTCTGATGCACCATTGAATTATGTGAGAAAACAAAATACATGTACAAAGAATGGGCTGAGATTAAACAAACAATGCCTCTATTGCATTTTTATATGATCCTCTCTTTCAGTTCTGGCTTACTAGTAATTCCTGTACATTCTTGGTGATACAGTAGGTGGCACTTTAGCCACACACAAAGTCACTATCTCATGTTGATGGAATGCTACTGTGGAGGCTTATCTTTTACAAAAAAGATAAATATAAAAATAAATATTTTAAAATATAATTGCCAGTTCTATCTGGCAAAATATAATATGTATTATCTCTAGGCATGAGTCATACTGGGGTTTGAAATGCAAAGTTAGCCAATAATGCTGAATTCTGGAATACAGGTATGATAAAATATATCAGACTACTTTGTGTATTTGCCTGTTGATAACATATACCACTGATTTGACTCCTGCAAGGCAAGCAGGCAAGAGATTTAAAAAGTATCCGCAGAATATAATGGTCAAAAGATGGAAACACCAAGTGCCTCTGTGGAATAATTACATTTTTACTGTGAATTCATATTTGCGTTTACAATAAAGTAGAACATTTGTATTCAGAGTGAAACTAAAAAAAAACAAAAAAAAAAAACACCCTACCCTACGTTTCCATTTATAAAAGGGCTTAAAGCGGTTTGTCAGCATTTCTTGTTAAGTGTAAACAATTTGTACACATTTGTTAGGGTTGGAGCGTGAAGCATGTGTGAGTCGAGCACCGTATTTTAGGCAGAATTCAATTCCATTAATTCCTTTTTATATTGTGCTAAGCACATTGCTCCTCTAAATGAGATCCAGACTTGTTCATGCTTAGAATAAACCAATTAAATCAATGAAACGTGTTAGACATGACTAAATTAAGTCTCATTGATTTCAGTGTGTTGACTTTAAGTATGACTAAGAGAAATCCAACGCGGTACCTGTAAAGTTGGTTTTGAAATTTCTACAACTCTCCCCAGTCCAATTTCAAAGCTCTTTGAAATCAAGTGACTCAAACTTCTAGTTAAGGCAACCTAACCTAAGCCTTCTCATAGGGAGGGAGATAGGCAGATCAGAAAACAAAAACCAGGGAAAATAAATCAGAAAGAAATATTGATTTCCTTACTTTACTTAACATTGCAGTGAATGTTAATGCTTCGGGGAACACTCATGAGTAATGGAATTCAGTGTGATTCAGTGATATGAAGGTGTGTATGAATCTTTTATTTAAATCTTGTCATACAGTTAGAGTGGGAATTTACTACTTTCTTGATGTTGTTGAACTACAATTCCCAAATTCTTAATCATGTATAGTACATGATTGGTGTTTGTACAGATTATATATTAAAAACAATTGGTGAGCTACATCATAAACAAAAAAGGGTGTATGCAGACCATTCTACTTATATCTATGTTTGTAAGCCTCCCAGAGTTGCCTCGAAGCAAGATGGGCAACAAATAACTTCAGTCCAATCAATCAGTCAATCAACCAACCAATAAATAAATAACTTATCTTTCGAAATTAACAGGATTTAGGTTAGTGATGGTGTCTAATTTAGCTTCCGCTGAATGATGGGATTCACTTTTTGGAATGGATCTCTCTAGCTCGTAATTTTAAATACATTTAGCCAACA